GCTGCAGGCAGGCCGGGTTGGTGATTGCGATAGTGCAGGCCGGATCTGTGATGATGATGGTGCAGGCCGGATCGGTGATGTTGATGGTGTAGGCTCAACCGGTAAAGATGAGGACTGGATTATATTTCGAAATGATGGCCTTGGAACAGGGAGTTGAGGAAACGCTGATTTTGCATTTGGGCCAACATTGGTGTTATTTAAAGCTGATGAAAAGCTCCTCGTCAGCGGCACTGGTGTTGGTGCTGGCCTGTATATTTGTCTTCTCCTGAGAGCATCACTTTCCTTTTTTTCCTTGTAGTTGAGAAGCGCACTGCACTTTGAGTAGTTTGCCGGGTGTTCGTTGCCACAGTTCACACACATCGGTGCCTCAGTTGGCAGTTTCTGGCACGCACCTGGTGCGTGCACATTAAGGCACTTTATACACCTGTACTTATATCCTGGTCTTTGTCGACTAAAATTATGTATATTGGTAGTTTCTGTTGACCACCGTCCGACTGTTTTCGTATTACTTGCACCACTTGTTTTATTTTAGCTCCTTTCTGTTGCAGTTCTTCGCGGACTTCTGTCTCAGTTATAGATGGATGGAGTCCCGTAATTGTTGTTTTTTTCCCAGATTTTGTTTCAAGGAGTAGATGTAGAAGGGGTAATTGCATTCTCGCAATATACTTTTTAATTGCTCGTGGTCAGTAATTGAATCGGTATAAAATTTGTGTAAATTATTTTTTAGGAACTGATACCTGAAATTGATCTTAGTTGTATCCCGGATATAGCGCATGGTTTTCAACTCTATTTTAGCTTTTGCAATGATAGGCAAAATTTTCTCTTGCTTCATGTCTATTTTCTTTGATGGTGCTGCCTGTACGCCTGAAGTGGATGGCTGTGACCCGACATCAATTTTCTCGACCTCCTTGTTTTTGGCTTTCTTCCGCCGTTTGACCTTTTTGTATTCCTCAAGTTTCCTGTCCGTGTCCATATCAGTCCGATCAGATAGCGCATTGGTTTTATTTTTGAGGGTCTCGCTCGTTAATACTTCCATTTTCATTATTTTTAATTTCTTCCTAGGCGCCTGCCTGGGAATATTCTTGTATTCTTCAATATGCACAGCACTAATTTTAATAAAGTTAATCTAAAGACTTAGAAAAATTTAAATTAAGAAAAATTCACTTGCTAATATGGCTTATCCTCTAACCATTAGTAACACCAATCCGGTGTTTGGAAAGAGGAGTCAGCAGAAGGCACGTTCACCTTATAATTTTGACAAGATATTAAATATTTTCGGAGAATTACATTCGATTGCTTTTAAAAAAGCACGATTTTAAATCGATATCGGATGAATTCCAGACTTTATGCTTTACACAAAAATCGAATGACATTCACTGGATCAACAGTTTTGAAAGACAGACAGAAATAAAAATTTATTCAATATATACAGTGTAAAATACAGTGAATTATATGTGGGTTTGTCTACCCTGGGGGTATTTTACCCAAAAGTTTATGGTTTTACAACATTGTCTATATATTTGTATTTGTACAATAGTTTATTCATTATTACGCAAGGACAAAAAAAGGAGAAAAGTTTTTGTCTCCTAAAAAAAATCCTTCATTCATTGTTTTATGACTTATGTATTCACTGCGGGCTCGATCAGGTAGTTAGGCATAGCATAATTCCCATACCATATCAATTCTGATGTGTATTGGCCTAACGCGCGGATGGTACTGTTATCGTGATCCCTACACTTTCGTTAAAAATTTTTAGTGAGCTTTTTTATGTAATCTAGTATAGTCGGTATGTCCGTCTGTTCATGTAAATATTTCGTTGGGTAGTAGTGTCTCGTCAGTGGGTTTCTTGATTTGTCTAGTACCAGTCGCAGTGCTTTGTTCTGTGCTATTTGTAGTCTCCGTCTGTTGGTCTTGGTTGTCGCGTTCCATGCCGGAGCGGCGTATGTCAGTAATGGTCTTATCAGTGTCAAGTAAAGTGTCCGCTTGTTTTTCACGCTTAGCGGGCTGTTGTGGTTCAAAAGAGGTCTCAGTAGATTCATCATCCCGTAAGCCTGTCCAATTTTTGTATTCGTATGTTTTGTGAAGCTGAGTCTATAGTCCAAGGTTACGCCAACATTTGACTTCCTTGGATCACTCAGCTTCATGGCCCATTACCTTTAGTTTCGTCAAGTCAGTGAGTGTAATGGACCAACGGCTTTTTGTAAAGAAAATTGCTTCTGTTTTAGAAGGATTAATTTTAATTTGCCATTTTTCCGTGTAATCAGTCAGGGCGTCTATATGTCTCTGTATTTTTGTAGTCAGTAGCGTAGGTGAACGTGATGATCTGTAAATGGCAGTGTCGTCAGCAAATGTCAACAGTGTTGTGTCGGCGTCAGTGGGCATGTCGTGGATGTAGACGTTAAACAAGGACGGTCCCAGGATCGAGCCCTGCGGTACTCCCGCCGTCACTTGTTTAATCGTCGAGGGTGTGTTGTCTACTTGAACTGTGAAATTACGATCTGCGAGGTAAGAATGGAGTAGTTTTGTGATGTATGGTGGAAAGTTAAGGGTTATGAATTTGTGTATCAGTCCGTCCATCCAGATGATGTCAAAAGCCTTCTCGAAATCGAACAACACCAATCCGGTATAGTTTCGTCTATTGAAGTTGAGTACAGTGTTTTTTATTAGTTGTGTCAGTGGATGTAACGTAGAGTGCTGTTCCTTAAAGCCGTACTGTGTGTCTGGTATAATCTTGTTTCGTCTGATGTGTCTGTTGATGCGTTTGAGCAGTATTTTTTCAGTTACTTTGCTCATTGTATTGAGGAGGCTGATTGGTCTATAATTTTGTGGAGAGTCTGGCTGTTTCCTCGGCTTCAGGATAGGAAATATGGTTGATGTTTTCCATGAAGCAGGAATTTGGCCTTTGGCCATTATACGGTTAACCAGTCTTGTAATCAGTATGTATGCGTTTGTTGGTAGTTGTTTCAGTATTATATTTTGTAGTCCGTCCGGTCCGGGTGCTTTCCTGTTCGGTAGTTTTCTGATTGTCGATTTTATTTCAGAAACTGTGGCAGGGTATGTTCGTAGGTCTTTGTCGTCAAATTGTTCAGTAAAATTTTGAATAGAATTGCGCACGTCTCGTCTTAAGTCTGCGTTGGACATGTCGGCGTTTTGTCTGTGTATGTTTTCAAAGTGTGTTGCTAAAATTTCTGCTTTGCCTGCTGGTGTTGTGGCGTAGTTGTTGTCAGGTAGTTTGAGTGGCGGGATAGGTGTTGTTTTCCTCGTCAGTCTTTTGGCTGTTTGCCAAACTTTGTGCGGGTCAGTGTTGATGGTTTCTAATTTTTTAGTCCAAGTGTCGTTCCGGTGCTCACGTATCTCATTATAAATAGTTTTTGTCAGTCTGTTTACGTGTTCCTTTAGTAGTCTGTCACCAGTACGTTGCCACAGTTTCTTAATATTGTTTTTTAATTTAATTTTAACTAATATATGTTGGGGTAGTGTGTCAAATGCGGATGTTTTTGCGTGTCGCAGCGGTATTGTGTGTTGGATGGTGTCCGTGATCGTCCGTGTCAGATGTGTCACAGCCTCCTCTATGTCTGTATTGGTTGCTATGGGTATCGTGTGTCGTATATTGTCTGTGATAATGTCTCTAAAAAGTGGCCAGTTGGCTCTGGAATAATCTAAAATGTTGCGTTCTGGAGTACGGTCGACGTCGAGTTTGTCTGAGATAGTCATAAAAACAGGGTTATGGTCAGAGTTTAAAAGTGTTCTAGTTATGGGTTCGGATGTTATGTAAAGATTTTTTGTCAAGGCCAGGTCGATCGTGCTGTGATGGTGTGTCTGTACGATGGCGTATCTGGTCGGTGTGTCAGGATAGTGTAGTTGTGCGTCCGTGGTGTTGGGTTCCGTCAGATATTCGTAGAGTCGGATTCCGTTTGCGTTGTTGTACTTGCAGTTCCAGGATGTATGTTGCGCGTTGAAGTCTCCTGCCATTAAGATGTGTGTGTTTGAGTCAAGTAGGTTTTGTAGGTCCGTCAGTTGCAGTCCGCTTGCCGGGATGTAAATCGATATTAAAGTCACTTTTTGACTCCTTTTGTATACATTAATAGTTGTTAACGCCCGCTGTCAGGTTTGGCACTTGCTCGTGTCTGATATTAGACTTGATCAATATTGCAGTGCCTCCCCATCCGCGTGAATTTGTCGGTCTGTCGTTCCTGTATACTTTGTAGTTGTTGATGTAAAGTCTGTCCGTAGGTTTCAGGTGTGTCTCGTTAATTAGTACAATGTCCAAGTCATATTTTGTTATAGTCTGTTTCAGTTCGTTTACGTTGTTTTTGAGTCCGTTGGAGTTGAAGTACATTATGTGTATGTCGCGTGCGTTATATGGGCATGCATGCCGTCAAAAAGTTAAGTATGGTTGTGTATTTGTCATTGTAAGTCATATTTGTGTTTAATGTCTTTGTCAGTTTATAAAGCTCACTGAAAATTTGTCTTACCTCGGGATCCGCGAATAACTTCCTGATCTCACCCATAACAGTAAAAAGACCCTCTGGTTTACTCAGGTCTGGATCGGACTGGCTGGTGGTAGGACGGATTTGTGAGGATGCTGGCCGGATCGGTTCTGGTGCTGGCTGGATCTTCGGCGATGGATACTGGGAGGCCGGCGGTATACGTGGTGATGATGGTACCGGGAGTTCAGGAAACGCAGATCTGTTGTTATGGCCATCGTTGGTGGGTTTTAAAGCTGACGAGAAGTTCCTCGTCAGCGGCGCGGGTGTTGGCGCTGGTCTGTATGTTTGGTGTCTTTTTTGCGCATCTTTATCCCTCTTTGCTCTATAGTTAATTAGAGCTGGGCATTGTGAGTAGTTAGCCGGGTGGTTTTCTTGGCAGTTCACGCACTTCGGTTCCTCCGTTGATGTCTTCGTGCACACTTTTGGTGGGTGCACGTTCGTGCATTTAATGCACCTGTAACGCATGTCGCACGTGTACGAGGTATGGCCAAAGTTCAGGCACTTGTGGCACTATATAGCCTTATTTAGTGGCCTGTAACTTTCCCATTTAAATATATGTCCTTCTATATTGTTTATTTCCTTCAGTTTGGCCATCTCTTGTTCCTTATCTAGAAGGACAATATATATAGGGAGTTTGCGTTGACTGCCGTCCGATTCCTTCTTCTTAATTTGGACCACCTGCTTCACCTTAATGCCCTTGGCTTTCAGCTCTTCAAGAACCACCGTTTCAGTCATATCAGGATTTAGGCCAGTTATAGTAATTTTCTTAGGGATGTCGTGCTGCATAGTATAGGTGTAAAATTGGAAATCACAATTCCTTAGTATGGTTTTTAATTTTTCGTGATCTGCAATCGTATCGGCGAAAATTTTGTATAATTGTGGTTTTAAATAATGGGTCCTGAATATTATTTTCGTCGCATCTTTGATATATTTAATGACTTTCAAATCCAGCTGGCCTTTGACGATGATAGGTGTAATCTTTGGATCTGGTACGGTGGTGTTCTTGGGTGCTAAATGCCCCGTTTTTGATGTAGATAGCTTTTGAGTGTTAGTGTTCTGGTTTCCTATCACATTGTCTGCGTTGCTTTGCCTTAACCGCTTCTTGCGTTTTACTATCCGGTACTCGTCTATCTCCCGATCCGTGTCCATTTCACTCCGGAATTGGTTTTTTCAGTGAATGTCATTCGATTATTGTGTAATAAGCAAAAAGTCTGGAATTCACCCGATATCGATTTAAAATCGTGCTTTTTTAAAAGCAATCGAGTGTAATTCAATCAAGGTATTAAATATCTTGCGAAAATTATAAGGTGAACGTGCCTTCTGCTGACTCCTCTTTCCAAACACCGGATTGGTGTTGCTAATGGTTAGAGGATAAGCCATATTAGCAAGTGATTTTTTCTAAATTTAAATTTTTCCAAGTCTTTAGTTTAATTTTATTAAAATCAGTGGTGTGTATATTGAAGAATACAAGGATATTCTTAGACAGGCGCCTGGGAAGAAATTAAAAATAATGAAAACACAGAAAATGGACGTATTGACGAGCGAGATCCTCAAAAATAAGTACAATGCGCTATCTGATCGCACCGATATGGACGCGGACAGGGAGCTTGAAGAATATAAGAAGGTTAAACGGCGGAAGAAAGCCAAAAACAAGGAGATCGAGAAAACTGATGTCGGGTCGCAGCCATCCACTTCAGGCGTACAGGCAGCACCATCGAAGAAAATAGATATGAAGCAAGACAAAATTTTGCCTATCATTGTGAAAGCCGAAATAGAACTGAAAACCATCCGCTATATCCGGGATACGACCAAGATCAATTTGCACAAATTTTATACCGATTCAATTACTGACCACGAAAAAATAAAAAGCATATTGCGCGAATGCAATTACCCTTTCTACATCTACTCCATAAAACAAAATCTGGGTAAAAAAATTACAATTACGGGACTCCATCCATCTATTACTGAGACAGAAGTCCGCGAAGAACTGCAGCTGAAAGGAGCTAAAATAAAGCAAGTGGTGCAAGTAACACGAAAACAGTCGGATGGTAGTCAACATAAACTGCCAATATACATAATTTTAGTCGACAAAGATCAGGATATGGCGGAGCTGAAACGCATAACCAACATTGGTGGACACATCTTCTCCTGGGAGACCTATAGACCACAGAACAGAGCGTTGCAGTGCCACAAATGCTTGAACTTCGGTCATACATCGTACACCTGCGATCTAAAGTACAGGTGTATAAAGTGCCTCAATATGCACGCTCCAGGTGCGTGCCAGAAACTGCCAACTGAGGCACCGATGTGTGTGAACTGTGGCAACGAACACCCGGCAAACTATTCAAAGTGCTGTGCACTTCTCAACTACAAGGAGAAAAAGGAAAGTGATGCTCTCAGGAGAAGACAAATATACAGACCAGCACTAACACCAGTGCCGCTGACGAGGAGCTTTTCGTCAGCTTTAAATAACACCAATGTTGACCAAAATGCCAAATCAGCATTTTCTCAACTCCCTGTTCCAAGGTCATCATTTCGAAATATAATCCAGTCCTCATCTTTACCAGTTGAGCCTACACCATCAACATCACCGATCCGGCATGCACTATCACAATCACCAGCCCCGCCTGCCTGCAGCCAGTCCGATCCAGATTTCAATACACCAGAGGGACTTTTTGCTGCTATGGGCGAGATCAGGATGCTGTTTGCAGATCCCCAGGTAAAACAAATTTTTAGTGAGCTTTATAAACTGACAAAATCACTAAACACCAACATGACATATAATGAAAAATACACCATAATACTTAACTTTTTAACAGCATCTCCATAAACCAAACGCGCGACTTACACATAATGCACTTTAACTCTAACGGACTTAAAAACAACGTAGACGAACTGAGACAGACGATAACAAAATACGATTTAGACATAGTACTGATCAACGAGACACACTTAAAACCTACGGACAGACTCTATATCAACAATTACAAAGTTTACAGAAACGACAGACAGACAGACGCACGCGGATGGGGCGGCACTGCGATTTTGATCAAGTCTAACATCAGACACGAGCAAGTGCCAAACCTGACAGCGGGCGGTTCTAAAATAACAGCTATAAATGTATATAAGAGAGGTCAAAAAGTAACCATAATATCGATTTACATCCCGGCAAGCAGACTAGAACATACGGACGTACAAAGACTGCTAGACTCAAACAGATTTGTACTTATGGCAGGAGACTTTAACGCACAACATACATCTTGGAACTGCAACTTTAACAATGCGAACGGAAACAGACTTTACGAATACCTGACCGAACACAACACCACAGACGCACAACTACACTATCCTGACACGCCGACCAGATACGCCACCGTACAGACACACCATCACAGTACGATCAATTTGGCATTGACAAAAAATCTGCACGTAACATCCGAACCCATAACAAGAACACTTTTTAACTCCGACCATAATCCAGTTTTCATGACCATTTCAGACAGACTAGACGTCGACCAGACTCCCAAACGGAAATTTTTAGATTACTCCAGAGCTAACTGGCCATTTTTCAGAGACATCATCACAGACAACACACGACACACAATGCCAATCGATACCAACACTGACATTGAGGAGGCTGTAACACACCTTACACTGACAATCACAGACGCTGTTCAACAGACTATACCGACACTAGACTCAAGAACAACACCAGCCAACGACTTGCCAGAACATATTTTATTGAAAATAAAACTTAAAAATCACACAAAGAAACTGTGGCAACGTACCGGTGACAGACTACTCAAGGAACATGTTAACAGACTGACAAAAATTATTTCCAATGAAATACGTGGCCACCGGAACAACACTTGGACCAAAAAACTCGAAAACTGAAATACTGACCCACACAAAATTTGGCAGACAGCAAAAAGACTGACGCAGAAACCAACATCCATACCTCCACTCAAATTAACTGACAATAATTACGCAACGACACCAGCAGACAAGGCTGAAATATTGGCAAAAAACTTTGAGAACATACATAAACAAAATGCCAATATGTCAAACGCAGACCTGAAACAAGACGTACACGAGACAATTCAAAACTTCACTAACCTCCACAGGGACAAAGACTTACGAATAGACCCTGCCACAGTTTCCAAAATAAAGACAATAGTTAAAAAATTACCGAACAGGAAAGCACCAGGACCGGACGGACTACAAAACATAATACTTAAACAACTGCCGACGAACGCCTACATTTTACTTACGCGCATAATAAATAGACTAATGACAAAAGGCTGCTTTCCCGCTTCTTGGAAAACCTCCACCATATTTCCAATAGTGAAGCCAAGTAAACAGCCAGACATACCACAGAACTACAGACCGATCAGCCTCCTCAACACAATGAGTAAGGTAGCCAAAAAGGTACTACCCAAAAGACTTAACAAACACATAAGACATAACAAAATTATACCTGACACTCAATACGGATTCAAAGAACGACACTCCACACTACACCAACTGACAAAACTCATAAAAAATACAGTACTCAATTTCAACAGACGAAACCATACCGAATTGGTGTTACTCGACTTTGAGAAGGCGTTTGACACCATCTGGATGGACGGACTTGTACATAAACTTACCCAACTCAACTTTCCACCGTACATAACGAGAACTTTACACTCATACCTCTCAGACCGCAACTTTACCGTACAAGTAGACAACGGACTTTCGACGGTTAAACAAGTGACGGCGGGAGTACCGCAGGGCTTGATTCTGGGACCGTCACTGTTTAACGTCTACATTCACGACATACCCACTGACGCCGACACAACGTTACTGACGTTTGCTGACGACACTGCCATATACAAATCATCACGATCACCGACGCTACTGACTACAAAGATACAGACACACATAGACAAGCTGACCGAATATACTGACAAATGGCAGATCAGAATCAATCCGCAAAAGACGGAGGCAATTTTATTTACAAAGAGCCGAAATGCCACGACTAGACTGACTGACTTGGACAAAATTAAAGTGTTGGACTGTGAAGTTGAGTGGTCGAAGGATGTCAAATATCTTGGTGTGACCCTGGACCATAGACTCAGTTTCACAAAACATATTAATACAAAAATTGGACAGGCTTACGGGATGTTAAATCTACTGAGACCTCTCTTGAACCAGAACAGCCCGCTAAGCGTGCAAAACAAGCGGACACTTTACTTGACACTAATAAGACCGCTACTGACATACGCCGCTCCGGCATGGAACGCGACGACTAAGACTAACTTACAGAAACTACAGACATTACAAAATAAGACACTACGAATAGTACTTAACAAAATAAGGGACCCACTGACTAGACATTACTACTCTTCAAAATACATACACAAACAGACTGACGAACCGACAATACTCGACTATATAAAAAAGCTTACTAAAAATTTTTATCTAAAATGTGGGGATTATCCTAATATTAACATCGCGGGCCTCGGCCAATACACAAGAGACGATATTTGGTATGGCAATCACGCCATGCCAAAATATATACTGCATTTTAGATAAAAATTTTGAGTGAGCTTTTTCATAAAGTCTAGTATGGTCGGTAAGTCAGTCTGTTTGTGTATGTATTTTGAAGAGTAGTAAGGTCTAGTCAGTGGGTTCCTTATTTTGTTGAGTACGAGTCGAAGTGTCTTATTTTGTAATGTCTGTAGTTTTCGTAAGTTAGTCTTAGTCGTCGCGTTCCATGCCGGAGCGGCGTATGTCAGTATCGGTCTTATTAGTGTCAAGTAAAGTGTTCGCTTGTTCTTCACGCTTAGCAGGCTGTTGTGGTTCAAGAAGAGGTCTGTCCAATTTTTGTATTAACATGTTTTGTGAAGCTGAGTCTATGGTCCAGGGTCACACCGAGATATTTGACATCCTTGGACCACTCAACTTCACAGTCCAATACTTTAATTTTGTCCAAGTCAGTCAGTCTAGTCGTGGCATTTTGGCTCTTTGTGAAAAGAATAGCCTCCGTCTTTTGCGGATTGATTTTAATTTGCCATTTGTCAGTATATTCAGTTAGTTTGTCAATGTGTGTCTGTATCTTTGTAGTCAGTAGTGTAGGTGAGCGTGATGATTTGTATATGGCAGTG